CTATTTCCAATATACTTTTAAATTCATCCTGTTGAATTCCTGTTTTTGGTTATTGTCCTTATCTGTTCTAGAATATCTGTGTGGTTCTTTTTCAAGTTTGCTGTCTCACCGTCTACAAATTTTAGTTGTGTGTTAAGTTTTTCAAGCTGAACTTTTTTTTTAATGTGTGAGAGTGGTAAATGCTGTTGTTTTAAAGTCTAGGATCTGGAGTTCATTGAAGTATTCCTATGTTTTTTTCTACTTATATTTTTTTGAGACAGGGTCTCAATCTGTAGCCCAAGGCTGGCTTTAAAATCACCAAGTGCAGTTTATTATTTTTCTTTTGTTTTTGTGCTTTTGGTATCATATTTAAGAAATCATTGCCTAACTAAAGCTGTAGGGATTTACACCTATGCTTTCTTCTAAGGGTTTAACTTTCACAATTTCAGTTTTCATCTTTTTTGGTACTGGAATTTGAGTTCAGGGCTCTTTTACACTTGCTAGGCAGGTGCTCACCCACTCCTCCAGCCCTGGCATTGAACTCACCATCCTCCTGCCTCACCTCTTAAATGCTGGAATTGTACGTGTGAGCCACCATGTTTGGCTTCCATGTACTTTTTTGGTGTTTTTATCATTTCACATGGTCTCTGGATGTTATAAAATAAAAAATATTTCCTGGTTCAATTTTAGGTTTAGGATGTCTTCTCTCAGAGAGATTTTGGTTACTTCTCTTGCCTTAGACCACTTTTGTCCACATTCAAAGCTTGAGGTTTCCTGAGTAATCAAAATGACATTAAGCTGAACTGACTTGGATGTAATTATTTTGGGTCTTATCCCAAACTGCATGTGTTGTCACAGAGGTACCAGCTTTGATAGATCTTAGACTCTACTTTTATATCTTAGGATGGCAGAACTATTGAAATACAGTTTAATTAGTCTCTCACTCATATCTTTAGGATTGGCAGATACCTCCTCTGGTCAAAGTGGTCATGTATTATAAGCACTTTTGTCATAATATCAATAAGCTAATTTAATATTTACTGCTTTATAAAAATCTTATGTGATATCTGCATATGATATACAAATATAAACACGTTTAAATGACTTATAATAAAAATATTTTTCTATTATTATTTTCATTCATAGGAGGAAATCACTTTGAACTATGTGATCTGTGTTTACTTAGAATCTCACATCTTTTCACCATAGTTCCAATTCTCAATTACTAATTAAGAGTATATAGTTAAAATATTTCTTTTTCAAGCATCTAATACAGAATTTCTGGATTTAGCACTTTTGTTTGATGAATATATTAATACCTCTCTTATTCTCTTTATCAACTCTTCTCTCCCAGTCTTTTTAAAGAATTGTTATCATTTGAAGTGTCAAGGGTGTTAACATTTACATTTTGTTCTGCACAATTTAGTCTGTTTTTTTATAAAATAAATTGATTGATAAAGATGTTTTCTAAGATGTAACCAAACAAAACATTTTTAAACTGTGCAGTTGTGTATGAGAATTATATTTTTAACATTGTAGAGTTCTTTGTCTTTCCAGACATTTCTAATTGACTTTAGTGTTTCTCTCCTGCTTGGCTTCATTCTCTCTTTGAATTGTAAGGATGGTTCAGAATTTTGTGGCCTGTTCTCTGTTATTTGCAGCCAGGTACCTCCAAGAGCTTATTGTCTCAGTTTACTTGGTTTGTTAGATTTGCTTCACAGTTGCTGCTTTAGTACTTGTTTTCTTATTTAGGTTTGGCTTTACATTTTCTTAGATTTTATCTTCATATTTTCTTCATATTTTTATTTTACAAGATATTTAATTTCATATATGGAAGTTAGTTTTCTTTGTGTAAAAATGTTATGACTGGTATTGCTAATGACAAGTGTTCCGATGTAATTTGCTTTTTAAAAATTCTTGTGAATTTTTACCCAGATGTAAGCCCCTACTTTATTCACTGAACTTGGACTCTTTTGGACCTCTTTCTCTTTGAAGATTTGTTTTGTTTGGCTGTGGATTATTTTGTTCTCCATTTTCTTGTCTTTTTGAACACTAGTTAATTGGGTGTTGGATTGGCTATTTGTGCCTTTGCTTTCATATTTTTTCTTAGAGAACTGCCTTGCGTTCTTGCACAACAAGATGTCCCAGGCTTATCTTGTACTCTTTTCTGCCTGGCCCTGGGACTACTCATTTTTCCCGAGGATTCCTAATTCCTTTTAAAAGTAGATTCTTTTTAGTAAGATCTCGGCATTAGTCTTGCTCATTGCTATTGGCGTGTCACTGATTTCAGATCCATTTAGTGGACAGCATATGTGTGTGTATTGTATGAATGAGTATGTATGTATATCTAAGTATATACATACATATACAGACATTTGTATCCATGTTTACATGTCTGTCTTTGTTCTGAGAACCTTAAATTTAGCCAGATGCTGGTGACTTTGCCTGTAATCCTAGCTACTTAGGAGTTAGAGATCAGGAAGATCATGGTTCGAAGCCAGCCTGGGCATATATTTCATGCTACCCTATCTTGAAAATACTCAACACCAAAATGACTGACAGAGTGGCTCAAGTGGTAGAGCACCTGCATTGCAAGTGTGAAGCCCAGAGTTCAGACCTAGTGGGACCACCCAAAAAAAAAAAAAATGAGTTTTCAGTTCTTCCATGTATAGAGCTGGTGGAGTGGCTCAAGTACTTAAGTGGTAGAGTACCTGCCTAAAAAACATGAGGCCCTTAGTTCAGACTCCACTGCCATCAAAAAAAAAAAAAAACCCTCAGTTTTTCCATGTACATATTAATTCTCCTGTTTTCTTTACTACTTTTTATATGAGGCTACCTATTCTGAATTTCTGGTCTCTTTGGGGTTATGCTGAACAGTTGCTGTTTTAGGTTTAATTTAGTCCTCTGAAAATTTCTAGGCTTCTGCCTAGAAATAAGCTATGTGTTCACTTTTAGAAGTTTGTTAAAGTTTCTTGCTACCTCCTTTATCATTCTAGGATGTTTTAAGCTGCAAATCCTGTCTAAAATTTATTTAAAAGTTTAGAGAAAAACTACTTCATGTAACAAATGTAAAGGTGTTATAGATAGGGAGTTGGTTAATTTAACAGTTTGATGAATTCAGCCAAGATTTCTACCTTTCTTTTCTTCTACCTTAATCATATCTACTGTTTTTCTAATTTCAAACAGCTTATAGCAGTTTTTGACATTACTACTACTACTGCTACCACCACCACCACCACCACCACCACCACCACTACTACTACTTCCTTCTCTCCCTCATCCCCTCCTTCTTCATTGTTTTCTTGAGACCTGGTCTTGCTTTGTATCCCAGGCTGGTCTGGAACTCATGATTCTCCTGTTTCAGCCTCTTGACTGTTGGAATTACAGGTGTATGCCACCATGCCTGGCCAAACATCACTTATTAGAGGTTATTCAATGTCTGCAGCAGTACATTCTTTTTTTTTTGAGATAGGAAAATCTTGCATTTGCAATCCTTCTGCCTTGGCCTCCTGAGTATTGGGATTACAGGTGTGTCCCACAGTTCCCTTCCTTTCCTTTTTTTTCCTTCCTTTCTTTTCTTTCTTTCTGTGTGTTTGTTGAGCATTGAATCCAGGGCCTCCTGCTCTACAATACTTCTAGTCCTGAGTTTTTGTTTTTAACTTCACAAGCTCAGAAGGAAGGTCAGAAGTCACCCATTCCATGCCTATTTGAAAACCACACACTGTATGTGTGTAATTATATATAATTGGAATTACTGTAAGTGAACTAGCTCTCTAGACTTCTACTTCTGACCAACAGGTATTTTGTCAGTTAAAGTCTACATTTAAACCTTATTCCTCAGGAGACTGGATTGTATTTGAGAAATGCTAATGTAGGCTAGTCAAGATTTGTCCTCCTGGTGCTGAGATAAACTTCAATTGTAAAAGTTCAGGATTTCAGAATATCTGAACCAAATTAAGTTTCTGTGAAAAAGGAAGGAGGGAGATAGGCAGTGTGAGAATGGCTGTTGGTTTGGCAAACAATGCCTGTTCATACTCTCTTTCCTTTGATTTGTTTTAGTTGTAATTGTGTGTGTATATTTTCTTTTTTCCCCTATGGTTCTTACAGGAAGAAAAAAAGATGAATGGTAATATGGTTAGTCTGCCATCTTACATAGGAAATCCGTTACTGCTTTTTTAAAAATTGAGTCCTATAAAACATTATGGTATGCATATATGATGTTCTGTAATTTAAAATCCTATACTTAATGCAAAGTAGATGATTCCTAATATTCATTTCAGGGTGCTTTCATTTTGTTTTATTCTGTGACAGTGTGGACACAAACTTAGCAGCTTTATCTCAGTTTCTGTGGTTTTAGTCTGGGCATGGTTAGCTGGTTCCTTTGTAAGGCTGTAATGAAGGTGTTGACTAGGGTTGGGTTCTCATCTGGGGCTGTATTGGGGAAGGATCTGCCTCCAAAGTTGTGATTGCTGGCATTGTTCAATTCATTTGGGTTTGTTGGACTAGGGCCTCATGCAGAGACCTCCTTCCCTTTCTTGCTTGCGGTGTTCTCCCTGGGCCAGTTTATAAACAGTAGTAGCTGTGTCTTTAAAGCCACTGAGAGAGATGCTGTCTAGCAAGATGGACATTACAGTCTTACTTAAATACATTACAGTCCGTCATCTTAGTCATTCTGTTGGATAGAAGTCAGTCATAGGTCGTATGCTCTTTCAAGAAGAGGGAATTACACAAGGATGTGAATACAGAAGGGCAGGTGGGGAGGTCATGGAGATTACTTCACAAGTCTGCCACAGAGTTGTGTATTAGACTGTAAGAATTTAGGATGTAGTAAATCATGTATCTTAAAGACCTATACTGTGTTGTATACAAGATGAACAAAGTTGCTGATATAGCCAGATATCTAAAATTGTTGAGACAAGCTTAGATGTCTTTGTAATTATTGTTGCTAACCAGATTCTGTAGTTTCAAGCTATAGTATTTTTGTGAATTAGCTTGTGTACATTTCCTTCTTCTTTTTTTAGTTGACTATATTGTGGAGTATGACTACGATGCTGTACATGATGATGAATTAACTATTAGAGTTGGGGAAATCATCAGGAATGTGAAAAAACTCCAGGAAGAAGGATGGCTAGAAGGAGAATTAAATGGAAGAAGAGGAATGTTCCCTGATAATTTTGTTAAAGTAAGTATTTTCAGTTTAATTTCTAGATGTTGCTTCACAGAGTTTACTCTCTTAATGTTAAAAAATATATGCATATATATTTAAAATGAAAATGGTTGAGGTACATTTTTACTCTAAAATTTAAGGAAATGGAGGTCCAAACACTTTTATGGTGGATTTCATTATTGCTTTGTGTCCTGCTGGGTGATAAAACTGTGATGTATGTGTATTTATGTTCTTACATATGTTTGTATATATGTTCCTGTCTGTTTTTAAAAAGTAAATAATAGCTTGCAATTGGATTGCACTTTGTAATTAATAAAGTTCTGATGTCTGGGATATTATCTCACAGGTCTTTGATTATATTTTGTTGCTTTTCTATCCTAGGTCAGAATGTATTCGGTCACACATTTTTTTTTCCTTCCCTCCCTCTCTCCCATTTGGTGATACAGGGCCTTATGCTTGCTAGGCAAGTACTTTGCCACTTGAACCATTCTGCCAGCCCTTTTTTGTGTTGGTTATTTTCAAGATAGGGTCTCATGAACTGTTTACCTAGGGTGGCCTGGAACCACAATCCTCCTGATCTTTTGCCTCCTGAGTAGCTAGGATTATAGGTGTGAGCCTCTGGCACCCAGCTAGATCATACTTTTTAAGTGTTAGCATTTGCAGTAGTTATCTACCACAGTAATAATTGCCAATTACTTGTTTTGTTCTTGTTTTGGCAATACTGAGATTTGAACTCCTGCTTGCTTTGCTAGGCAGGCACTCTACCACTTGAGCCACTCTGCCAGCCCACAATTGCTCTTTTAACTACCACTACACATTCTTTTTTTTCAGTCTAGGAAACAATCTACAATCTTCAAGACTGTTAATTTTTTTTTTTTCTTTTCTGGTTTTGGGGCTTGAACTCAGGGCCTACACCTTGAGCCACTCATCCAGCACTTTTTTGTGTGTGTTAGATATTTTTGAGATAGGGTTTCTTGAACTATTTGTGCAGGCTGGCTTCGAACCGTGATCCTTCTGATCTTTGCCTCCTGAGTAGCTAGGGTTACAGGCATGAGCCATCAGTGCTCGGCAAGACTGTTAAATTTATTACAAACTAGTAAAATTCTTAGGAGATTAGAGAAGGGAAAATGGGTAAATACCATTGCTTTATAATGCTCTTGTTTTCCTTCTTATTTTTTTTCTTTTATCCAGATTATCAGTTGGTGGAAGGCTAGAGTGTATGTCTTGTTGGCTTTTTCAACTTGTACAGTAGTAGTTAGCGGAATACTAACCCAGCATGCATGCTTAGTTAATACTTGTTTTCTGAATAATTTGTGTTTTATAGTTGCGCTTTTACCTCAAGTATGAACATATACTTTATTCTGTAAATTGATTTCAGAGAAATAACTGCACTTAATCTAATTACATTTTATCTCATGAAGCAATTGAGAAAAGGTGTGCCAGGGCATTGCATTTTGGGGTGGAGATCACTTTTTTTTGGTGATACTAGGGTTTGAATTCAGGGCCTCATGCTTGCTAGGCAGGTACTCCACTGCTTGAGCTACTCCACCAGCCCTCTTGCTCTACTGGGCTGTCCTGAATTCTGATCTTCCCACTCTCCACTTCCTGTGTGGAAGGTCACTTTTGTTTTTATTCATTTAATTTGTTTTATAAGTGTCTTAAGCAGATACCATGGAAATTCAAGTCAGGATTGCAGTATGAGACAACATTGTGAACTCATTCTTGTTTAGTTTAAAAATTGGACAGGTAGATATAAGAATAATTATATTTGTGTGTGTATATATATATATATGACTGTTAGTATGCATACATAAAATCACTGAGTGGGCCTAGAAGCAGTGACAGTTCAGTAGTAATGAGTACACTCATTGTTCAAATCTTGATTTCTAAGTATAATTCTCCATTAAAAAGAAGCAGGCAGCTCAGCCTTTCTGTGACCCTTCCAGTACGGGTCTTTCCTTCTTTTTTTCTCTTTGCTTAATAAATAAACCTCTGCTCTTTCACTCAAAAAAAACCCCCAAAAAACAAAAAAAGAAGTAAGGCTACTTGGAGAAATGACCAGTTCCAGCACTGGAGTAAGGAAGATACCTTAAGGAAGACACTAATTAAGTAGGTTAGTTAGTAGGAATTCTTTATTTCCTTAATTTTGTTAGGGAGAACATGGTCATGGGCTGTGTTAACATCAGGTGATACTGAATGAAGATTATTGTGTGAGAACTCTGTACTAGCTTTGCATTCTGTGCAAATCCTTTTTACTCCAAAGGAAAATGTCCATTTAAAAAATTAACCACAGGTAATGAGTAGTCCATGAATTAGTGAGGTGGTTGGATTAAGTCCTTGAGGTAATGTGTTTTAAGATTGGGGGAGGGGTGAGGGTGTCAGGGTGCTTGCCCCGCCCTATGTATGTGTGGCCTGGGTTTGATTCCCCTGCACTGGGGGTGGGGGTGTAGAGGAGAGCTCTAATTTATAATTTACTCTCCACTTTAAGCCTTCTAGTGGGATATTAAAGTGTTACTTTTAAATGTATGACTGTAGTGGATTATAGAGTTGATTTTCCTATAAAAAAAACAAAAAAAAACCTCATGTCCCTGTTACTGTTTCTGATAGCTGCCCTGAAGGACAAGGATAGTCAGATTGGGCTTGGCAGAAAGGCAGAGAGACAGAAATGCCAAATCATGCCCGTGGACTTTTGTGGTAAATTTGTTTTGTGATAAATGTCTATTTCAGTGTCCTTTTGCAAGCACTGTTAGTTTTTATTCAATGAATATAGAACAAGGAGCAATGAACTTCATGAAGAAAATATTATCATTTTGTCATTGTTGCATCAGTGTTACTTTATAAAAAAGAGGACATTACAGATAAAAGTGAGTTATTACCCCGTTGTCATCTCCCTTTGTCTGTAGAACCACCTAGGTCCTGAAATTGTATGTATTCTTTTAGTCCATAATTTCATACATTTTTGCCTGTGATACTAAATATTTTGTATGATTTACACATTTACATAATTATTGCATCAGATTGGAACTTTTCTTTATAGCTACATGAAATTTTAACATGGATACATAGTATGGCACTAGTTAGCTTATAGATAATTGATAGAGAAATAGTGTCAGGAAAACACGAAAGCTGTATTAGCTTATTTCCTAGTTTAGAGGAGCTGTAATAAAGATTGTAGAAGTAAAATTTTATCAAGGAAAAGGAAGGTTCTCAGTGTGGGTACTTGCATAGACAGGAGATCCTTTGAATCATAACTTTATTTTTTTAAAGTGATTATCTGTACCTGGGCATCTTCCTCAAAGTTACATAGTATTGGCATTGTAGGGTCCTTAAATCTTGGTGTTCATCTCCACTTCTGTCTGCACTATATCACTGTCCACAAGCCAGCATTTCCACTTAGTGCTTTTACATATTTTTAATAGCTTCTGAAGGATCCTTCAGTTATGACTATTTGGGCAGTATAAATTATTGCCCATCTTCTGATGGTCCATCTATTGTTTTTATTTTTAATGCTGAGGCTCCAAATTTCCATAGATGTAGTAAGTCATTCTTGTCCAAAATTATGCTGGTAATAGTGGGGCAATGACTTGCTAGTAGGTTAGCTTTGTGACAGGAAAATGTCAGGTCTGTGTAGAAGTATGTTATCTATGGAATGTGCAGGTGTGTTAGTTACTTTCCTCATTGCTGTGACAAAATACCTGACAGAAACTTAAAGGAGGAAAGATTATATTGGTTTATTGTTTCAGAAAGGTCAGTCCATGGTTATTTGGCCCATGTGCTTGGGCAGAAATCATGGCAGTGGAAGCATGTGGTGAAGGAGAGCTGTTCACCTCATGACAGACAGGAGGAGAGAGAGAATGCCTGCACTTTGGCTTTCTCCTTTTCCCCTGTTTATCTGGGACCCCAGCCTGTAGGATGGTGCTGGCCACATTCAGGGCACCACGTTGTCTTAAGCTTCTTTGGAAGAGACACCCAGAGGTGTCCTCTACTAATCTAGACTCTTCTCAATCCAGTCAAAGTGACAATCAGAATTAACCATCACTGGGCTGGAGGTGTGGTTCAAGTGTGGAGCCCCTGCCTAGGAAGCGTGAGGCCCTGAGTTCAAACTACAGTCCCACTAAAAAATAAGTAAAAATTAGGAAACTATCGATACTCAGAATATATAAGAAACTCCGAAAACTGAATAGCGTGAAAACAAATAACCTGATTTTAAAAATGGGGAATAGACTTAAATAGACATTTCTCAAAAGAAGACATGCAGATGACCAACAGGTATATGAAAATAAGCTCAGCGTCACTATTACTAAAAATATAACAAGCCTCTCCCAGTAAGAATGACAATTATCAAAAAGATTAAAAGATACCAAGCATTGGCAAGGATGTGGAGGAAAGCGAATGCCCACACCCTGTTCATGGGAGTAAATACTAATAAATTAGTACAGTAATTATGTTAAATAGTACGTGGGGGTCCTCAGAAAATTAAAAACAGATCTACCGTGTGGTTAGCAATCCCAGTACTGGGGTGTATTCCAAAGGAAATGTAATCACTATGTTGAAGAGATGTCTGCATTCCCACTTCATTGCAGCACTAGGAATAGCCAAGAAATGGAAATAATCCAGTATCAACTGGTGAATGGACAAAGGGAATGCACATATGTGCAACGGAATCCTATTCAGCAATAAAAAATGACTGTGACATTTGTGACAACTTTGGTAGAACTGCAGATCATTATGTTAAATTAAATAAATCAGGCCCAGAAACAAGTGCCACATGATCTCATTCATGTGTGAAATCTAAAAGAAATTAATCTCATGAAAATTGAAAGTGGAATGGTGGTTACCAGGGGCTGGGAAGAGTGGGAGGAAGGAAGGGAAGGCTGGGGAAAGGGTGATGTTACAGTTAGATAGGAGCAGGAAGTTTCTGTTGTGTTATTGCATGGTAGCATGACTGTAGATAATAGTAATGTATTGCACATTTCAAAAAGCTAGAGGAAAGGGTTTTGAAAGTTTTCCCTATT